GGGAATCCAGTTGCGGCTTGGAACACGTTCTGAAAAACAGTGAAGCGGAATGGGGCGGAGTGTCTGCGCCAGCCACCCTGAAGCCCCTTCCTGGAGAGCGCCTGCCAGCAGCTATGGCACACCAACTCCTACACTTCTGCAGAAAGTTTCCCTTTCACTTCTGCTACACCTGAGCTTACTGTGTAAAGAGCTAGAGTCATTCTTGCTGGTCAAGCAGCTTCACTCTGTAATCTAATATATCATCGACGTGATTTAGTGACAGTCTGCAACTTGTAAGGAGCAAGTGACATTCACGCTCCTACGTCATTCTACACTCACCATCATTCACGGCTGGTCTCTGTCTGGGCCATCTGCACATCAATACTGGGAGACTTGGGAGTAGAAACAGTCCCTGACTCAAGTGTCTACATCGGTGGGTGTTCCGACACGCTCGTTTGCTAGCCAGAACCCACCCATAGAAGGAACACTGTATGCCAGGCTTGGAATCAGGATGGCTCGTGGAGAAGGTTTCCCAGGGAAAGTGCCTGGGGCAAAGAGCATCTAGGGCTGCTACACAAGATGCTTGATGATCTATTGATTCTATGAATTTCTAGTCAAATGGCATACTGTGTTAGCAGTCTCTACCCCCAATAAGTTGCCCGAATATAGAATGTGCTAATATATATTGCTACTTTACCTAATGAGCATATATAAATCATATCGTAAAAACTATTCGAGCATCAAATATTGCTTATCAAATATTAACTAAATTGCTAACCACACGAAGACCAGCAGAACTCAAATATCTGCAGTCACCCGCTGGATTAGTGGCAGCCTGTCTATGGCCGCGACAACTGCTGACACTGCACACTCAATGCTTGACACATACGGGCTTTTGGTAATAAGTGCACGAATGAATGAGATAATACACACGTGCATGAATCAACATTGTACTGTGGAACCAAAGTGCTACCTGTCTCTGCCTCGGAAACACCATATCACATTCATTCCTTCATTCAACAAGTTATGTATTGAACCCCTACTTGTGCAGCGTTGTTCTAGGTGTTAAGGATACAGCACTGAACAAATAGACAGTTCCTGCCCTCAGCAGCTTACGTTCTAGTGGTGAATCATCATACAATAACTCAAACAAAAAAGGTGAATATTTTCTGGAAGTAGTATTTTAGGAAAATGAAGTGGCGTAAGGGATAGAGATCTCAGGAATGCTTAAGCCGTTGGTCGGAAGTCAACAGGTTAGGGTGAACTTGTTCTTCTACTTGGTGACCCTGAAATCCTTGTGGGTGATATAACCTTTCTGTCTATTTTCCATATCCCTAAAGTGGTTACCATAATAACCTGCCTCCTAGATTGTCATGAGCATGAGATTAAAGATGTATATAATAACCTGTTGTAAAGTGTACCTAAGGGATTGAACATTGTTTCGATTTACTAATGCTTTTATCGTGCCATATCTGGACACCCTCTGAGTCAGCGAGGCCGTACTCACCACACACCGATATCTGGACTGTGTTGCTTTTCTTGACTACTTTGCCGATGGCGGCGGTGCAGGTGTACGCCCCGCTGTCCCACTCCGAGGCTATCTTGGTGAAATTTTGAGCCTGTGACACAATCATGTCTTCCTTCTGGAGGGTGAAGTTGGCTGCAGGCGCTCCTGGGATGGAGCATGACAGGTTCAAGCTCTCGCCTTGGTCCAGACGTGAAGAGGAAAATTCCAGCGTCGGCTTGGGAAACAGTTCTGAAAAACAGTGAGCGGGAATGGGGCGACATGTGTCTGGCCACCACCCTGAAGCCCCTTCCTGGAGAGCCCCTTGGCCCAGCAGCTATTGGCAGCACCAACTCCCAACTTCCTGCAGAAAGTTTCCCTTCACTTCTCATACACCTGATGCTTACGCTGTTAAAGAGCTAGAGTTCATTCTTTGCCTGGGATTCCAAAGGCAGATCTTACTCTCTTGTTAATCCAATTTATTTCACAGACGTGGATTAGACAGGTCTTGCAACTTGTAAGGGAGCAAGTGACAATTTCACGCTCACTCGTTCATTCCTACACTCACCCATTTCATTCCACGGCTGTCCCTGTGCTGGGCACCTTGCACACCACTGGGAGACAGGGTGGATAAGAAACAGTCCCTGACTTCCAAGTGCTCACATCCGGTGGGTGATTCCGACACGCCGTTTGCAGCAGAACCCACCCATAGAAGGAACACTGAGCCCAGGCTTGGGAAATCAGGGAATGGCCTCGTGGAGGAAGTTTTCCAGGGAAAGTGCCCTGGGCAGAGCATCTAGGCTGCTAACACAAGATGCTGTAGACTCATCTATTTATGTCTATGAATTCTTCAAAGGCAAATCCTGGTGTTAGGCAGTTCTCTACCCCCAATAAGTTGCCCTGCATATAGAAAGTGCTCAATATACGTTGAATTAGTACTTTCCTCTAATGAGATGATATAAATCATATCAGTAAAAAATATCTCGAGCCATCAAAATATTGGTCATTATCAATAATTAACTAAATTGCTAACACACACTGAAGACCAGCAGAACTCAACATATCTGCCAGTCACCCAGCTGGATAGTTGGCAGCCTGTCTATGGTACCGGGGACAACTGCTGACACTGCACACTCAATGCTTGACACATACGGGGCTTTTGGTAAATAAGTGCACGAATGAATGAATGAATACACACGTGCATGAACAAACACTTGTACTGGGGAACCAAGAAGTGCTACCTGTCTCTGCCCTCGGAAACACCATCATCCAACATTCATTCCTTCATTCAACAAGTATGTATTGAACCCCTACTGTGTGCCAGGCGTTGTTCTAGGTGTTAAGGATACAGCACTGAACAAAATAGACCATGTTCCTGCCCTCAGCAGCTTACGTTCTAGTGGCTGAACACATACAATAACAAACAAAAAAGGTAGAATATTTTTCTGGAGGTAAGTATTTTAGAGAAAAATGAAGCCGGGTAAGGGGGATAGGGATCTCAGAGAATGCTTAAGCTTGTGGGCTCGGAAGTCAAACAGGCTTAGGGGGTGACACTTGTTCTGCTACTTGGTGACCCTGAAATCCTTGGGTGAGTTATTAACCTTTCTGTCTCATTTTCCATATCCCTAAAGTGGGCACCATAATACCTGCCTCCTAGGATTGTCATGAGCATGAGATTAAAATGTATATAAACCTGTTGTAAAGTGTACAACTAAGGGGAATCGCAACAATTAGTTTCGAGTTTACTAATGCTTTCTCATTCGTGGCCCCATCATAGGACCCATATGTGGGATCTAGCATAGTGCTCGGCACAGAGAACAGATAAATATATTAATAACATAGTAATGGAAACGTTAGCTAACATTCGTTGGGTGCTCACTCTGTACAAGGCATGGAGCTAGTGCTTACAGCATAGTTATCTCCTTTATTTTGTTGAGACAGGGTCTCTCTCTGTTGCCTGGGCTAGAATGCAGTGGCATCATCACAGCTCACAGCAACCTCAACCTCCTGGGCTCGAGCGATCCTCCTACATCAGCCTCCCAAGTAGCTGGGACAACAGGCATGTGCCACAATGCTCAGCTCATTTCTCAATTTTTTTGTAGAGATGGGGTCTCACTATGTTGTCCAGGTTGATTTCAAACTTCTGGTCTCAAGTGATCCTCTCACCTTGGCCTCCCAAAGTGCTGGGGTTACAGGTGTGAGCCACTGTGCTCAGCTCTAGTGATCTTATTTAATAATTATAACAGTCCTGTCAGGTGAGCGCTATCAATAGCCTCATCTCTCAGAGCTGAGGCAGGTTCAATAACTCACCCAAGGTCACAGAAGCAATGATGGGCAGGGTTGGGATTCGGCACCAGAGCTTGCACCCTCAACCACCACACATGCTGCTTTCTCGCTCAGCACTGACTTTTCCCCACGAGCACCAAAGCCCCGCCTGAGCACATTCATTCGGACAAGCAGGGGCAGAGAACGTATCAGCTCTCCTCGGCCACCCTGGATCCTAGCACAGTAGCTTCTTGCCCTGCCATAGGCCAACGCCCTCCCGCAGCGGCCTACCTGTTATGTTGACCACGATGCTGCTGACCTTGGATATGCGGCTGGACTCCACTTTGCACGTGTAGTTGCCGTTGTGCTCCACCATGGCCATGACCGAGTAGGTGGCCTCCTCACTGTGTTTGCTGTGGGCCACAATCACCTTGTCTTTCTGGATTATGATTTCTGGAAACTCCTGAGCCAGGGGCGTCACTTGAATGGTGCACTTAATGTGCAGCTGATCTCCTTCTGTGATCATTCCGGTGGGGATGACATGGAACTTGGGAACAGAGAAGGATTCTACAAGAGAAGAGGACAACTTGGTTGGACTCAGTTTCAAATCTGGGCCACGGGAAGGCACCCCCTACTCTTCTGCCCTTCTTGCTGGTGCCCCATTTTCCAACTTCTGATTTTCCTAATTTTAAAAATTCAATCTTTCCTCTCTAAAACCTTCACCTAAGCTGCTCTGATGCTCTCTCCCTTCTTGCTCATTTTTGTATCTTCAGCCATCCTCTTAACCGCAATTATCTGACTCCTTAAGCTTCCCACCTTCTCTAGAGCTCGTCTGCAGAATCTTCTTCAGATGACCTCAGAAATAACCACAGAAGGCCAGGTGCAGTTGCTCATGCCTATAATCCTAGCACTCTGGGAGGTCTGAGGTGGGAGCATTGCTTGAGGTCAGTACTTCAAGACCAGCCTGAGCAAGAGCTAGACCCCACCTCTATTAAAAATAGAAAACATTAGCCAGGCATGGTGGTGCATGCCTGTAGTCCCAGCTACTCTGGAGGCTGAGGTAGGAGACTCACTTCAGCCCAGGAGGGGTTTGAGGTTGCTGTGAGCTAGGCTGACACCACGGCACTCTAGGCCAGGTGGCAAGATTCCGTCTCAAAAAAAAAAAAAGGGGGGGGGGAGAAGAAATAACCACAGAAGTTAGAAGTGACTCTTCCTCCTGACCACCACAAATTTTCTAGGCTCTTCTCATACCATTTCAGGAAACTTGGTGTTTCAGCACAAAGATTTTAAAGGTTTCAAAAGAGACAACTTTTGAAATATGCTCCATGGAATGAATAATTAAATAACCATGTGTTTCCCAAAAGTGGCTTCTATCTATTCTATTTCATTTTTTACAATGTTGGCCATGACTCACTTCATTGATTTCATGATTCATGCACTTTGAAAAACAGTTTTAATAAAACAGAGGTCAGATACCAGGGTGTGGGATCTTCAGGGAGGTAGGGCTTAGTCCTTAACTTTTGTTCCCATATTCAACAAAAAACAAACCCAGAGCATAAACTGGAATACATACACAGATTGTGACTATGCAAAATATAGAGTAGGGACATTAGAAATGTAAAAAGTGAATTTAGAGGGATATAATACTTTACTATTTATTAGTGGCTTTTAAAATTATAAAGTCATTTAGATTCATAATAAAAAGCTATCATCAAAAAATAGCCTACTTTCTTAAGTAAAAGTAAAAAAAAGGGAAGGCATTTTTTTAGGACAATCAACTTTTAGGCCCTCTGGGGTAGCTTACTAAGAACTGAAGGGTTTTTTTCTTATACCGAAATTAACTCAAGATGCACCAGAGAATTAAATGCAGAAATAAAAAAAGAAGAAAGAGAGAAAAGAAAAGAAAGAAAGAAACCACAGACATAGTAAAAGAAGACATAGGTGCATATTTTCCTTTAATGCTTTGGAAGTGTGGATGACACTTAGGTGTGAATCACAAAACTGAGGTACCACAAAGAAAAAAGGTAGATAAATATGACTGACTGAAGATTAAAAACTTCTGCAAGGAAAAACTTATAAAATACAAAGACAAATGACAAACTTGGAAAAAGTTTGCATAAAATATTTGCATAGTACCGCTGACAAAGAGCTAATCTCTAATTTATAAAGGGCTTGACTCAATTGAGAACAATAAAAATGGGTAAAGAGTAATGGATAGGCAGTTTATGGGAAAAAAATGTAAAAGACTTATAAATAGACTTGACCTCACTTAAAACTAAAGAAATACAAATCACAACAACAATGCTATATCATGCACCTCAATTAGATTGGCAAAAATAGTAAACTATTGATAATACCCTGTGTTGGTAAGGATGTGGGAAAATAAACACTAGCATCACTTTTGATGGAAATATTCAACCATTCTGAGAGAAGTTTGATAATATCTGTCAATATTGAAAATGCACAAAAACATGTGAATCAACAATTTCACTGCTGGGAATGAACAACTTAAATAATAGTCTTAATAATAAAATACTTGCAAAAGTACACAAGTTATAAGTACAAGTATCTGCACTGAAGGATTGTTCTAAGAGCAGAAATTGGGAAAATACCTAAATGTCCATAAATACAATATGAGGTAAATAAATGATAGCACATTCCTACAGTAGAATTCTGATTCGCCACTTAAAATGATATAGATCTAGGCTGGGTGCGGCGGCTCACGCCTGTAATCCTAGCTCTCGGGGAGGCCGAGGCAGGTGGATTGCTCGAGGTCAGGAGTTCGAAACCAACCTGAGCAAGAGCAAGACCCCCATCTCTACTATAAATAGAAAGAAATTAATTGGCCAACTAATATATATAGAAAAAATTAGCCGGGCATGGTGGTGCATGCCTGTAGTCCCAGCTACTCGGGAGGCTGAGGCAGCAGGATTGCTTGAGCCCAGGAGATTGAGGTTGCTGTGAGCTAGGCTGACGCCATATTAAGTTTTTAAAAAGTTATAAAATAGTGTGATAGGTCCCCATCTTTTGTAAAAACAAAAACTCTCTGCATATTAACATATAAATATCTGTAGAAACAGTCTAGAGGACCATGTGAGTGGTTTTCTCTGAATTGTGGTACTGTGAATGATGGTGACTCTATACTTTTGTATGCTATCATTTTTTTTCCTAAAAATTCTACACACACATGGGCAGGGGTGTGAAGTGCCCAAAGAAGGGGGCCATTTATGACAAACTTTAGGGCTCCTACTTTGGAAACATTTCAGTCTATTTACATGAGGCTGTGCCAGGTCCCAGAAACTGCAGGTTACCCGTCCCGCAGTTTGTCTAGACTCTTCTAGGCTTCCCTCTATCTTTGCCACTTTCTCTCCTGAGAGCATTTCTCAGCTTGCTATTTGTTTATCTAAAGCTGAGGACCCAGCCCCTCTTGCCTCCCGCCCCACTTCCTGCTGTCTGGCCCTCAATGGCTTAAACTCATGGTTTCCAAACTGCAGGTCACACGATGCATCAATGTAGTAGTGAGTCATGGCCAGTGTTTTAAAAAACTAGAATAGAGTAGGCTAAAAAAATAGCAAAATACATCATACATATTAAGGGTAAGAACTGTTGGTGAAAATTTTGCTTGGTAAATTATATGTATTTTAACTGTTTCATGGTCAAAGAAATCTTGGAAAATACTGACTTAACGTGATAAAAGAACAGGTCCTGAGAGCAGCAGCCCAGCCCAAAGGCCCAGCCCCCTCCCAGCTCTGGGCTTTCTCCTCACACCACACCAGAAACCACAAAGAATGAAGAACAGGGGAGCAGGACTCTGACCCCTCACGGTGACCAGTTCACTCCTGGTGGATTCTGAGATCTCCATGTGGATCCCAGAAATGATCCTCGCTTGACAGCGGAATATTAAAACGTGGTCCTGTTCCTCAACAGGAAATTCCAGCATCACAAAATTCTGGTCCCGAGACGTCTTCTCTCTTCTGTGCTTGACAATTTTTGTATCTAGTTCAAGTTTTTCAATTGTGAAATGTATGGGGCCCTTTTCTTCCAGGACAGAACAATTGACCATCACGAACCCGCCTTCTATGGCCTCCCTTTTGTCCAGTGTCACCCTGGGATTGGGCACTCCTTTGGGGAAAGAGAAAATCCATTAGTACCAGTTTCACCTAGTGGCACAAGCCTCCCTCGGCCAAGTCACCATGGTTGACTTTTTGCCCCCTGAATACCCAGTGCTACCTATCAGGCAATTACTTAGCATGTGTGTGCCCAGCACAGTACCAGGTACTTCAAAAAATATAAAATATGCCAAAGATGGGGTTGGCACTTTCAATAGTTTATAATCCCATTGGGAAGACAATACAATCAGATTCCCAACTCATACAATTTAAAGGAGAAAAAGCAGCCAGTATTTGTTAGTATTACTGTGATTGTTGCTGTAACTGATTGAATGCTAACCACAGGCTAGGATTGACTTTAATTTATTCCACAAACACTTATTGAGTAGCTACTACGAGCCAGATTCTTTGTTTGGGGTATAAAAGTAAACCAAGGCCGGGCACGGTGGCTCACGCCTATAATCCTAGCACTCTGGGAGGCTGAGGCGGGCGGATCGCTCGAGGTCAGGAGTTGGAAACCAGTCTGAGCAAGAGCAAGACCCCATCTCTACTATAAATAGAAAGAAATTAATTGGCCAACTAATATATATATATAGAAAAAATTAGCCGGGCAGGGTCCCAGCTACTCGGGAGGCTGAGGCAGGAGGATTGCTTGAGCCCAGGAGGGCTTGAGGTTGCTGTGAGCTAGGCTGACACCACGGCACTCACTCTAGCCTGGGCAACAAAGTGAGACTCTGTCTCTAAATGAATGAATGAATGTAAACCAAACACCACCTCTCTTCTCCTGGTTTAGTAGTCCAGAAGAACAGGCGGATATATGAGAAATAGTTGCAATGTGGAGTGAAATAGCAAACCGCCATTTACTGGGAACTCACTAGGTGCTAGAAACAATGCTAAGCTCTCTGCTTACATGACGCCTTTAACCCTCTCGATAACCTCCTGGACTGGGTATTATTGTTATCTTATTTTCCAGATGAGGATTTGGAAGTTTAGAGCAGTTAAAGGACTTTCGCAGATTGGAACCCAGGCAGGGCGACTGCAGAATCCTGTATCTCAACACAGACATCGCTGTCGCCTTTATAGCCACAGACACCACTGAAGGTAGAGAAAGCCTAAGAGCCGTAAGGACTGGTACCCTGGAGGAGATCAATTTTGTTCTGGAAAGTGTCAGAGAAGAAATCGTTGAATGGAGTCTTGAAGAAGAAACTGTGGTTGACGAGAGGATGAGATGAAGAAGGTGTTCCTGGGAGAGGGAACAGCATGTGCAAAGGCAGGGAGGTTGGAAATAGCCTGGCTTATTGGGAACGCATCAAATGCCTGCATTTTCACGTTAGGAAAGTGCCAAGCGGATGAGTGAGGGGGTGGTGGGGGGAGGGGAGGTGCAGCGTTGTTATTCATTCAGTTATTATTCACGCCGCGGTGTGCTGTGCGTGCTGCTACCTCTGCTTGTCTTTGTCCAATGCCAAGGACTCACCTTTCACCGACACCTGGTACTCCTGAGAGGTCTTCTCCTTGTTGTTCAGCACCACAGTGCATTTGTAAGTCCCCGAGTCATAGACGCGGGCTTGGGGAATAAAAAAGCTCTCGGTGCTCTCCGTGGAGGAGACGTTGTAAAACAGCACGTCGTCCTTATAGAACAGCACCAGCTGCTGAGGCGTGACGTGCGAGGTGGTGCTGACGTCCACGACGCACTGCAGGGTCAGGTTCTGCCCGTTGGGCACCGTCCAGTCGGGCAGGCTGCTCATGTGGATGCTGTTGATGGTGAAAGCTAAACGCAAAGGGAAGGAGGGCAGACACACCTGTTATCTCAGTCGCATCATCCTGGTGACCTTCAGCACATCGCACGGGGCATTGTCACATCCCAGGCAGCACTCAGTCCAGGGACCCCAAATGTCCACACATGGCGGGGCAGGCAGATAATAACTGTGCATAGTGGGTCAAGCATGAGGCAGTCAGTACTAGGCTGCCTCATCGAGACAAGGTGGCAGAGCGTGACAGATATAAGACGGAAGCAGCCTGTGAGCTGCCACAGCACGACCCCTGAGGGAGCATAGGATTCAGGCAGACAAGTGTTCAAGTCCTGGCTCAACGTTTACTGTGTGACCTTGGGTGGTTAAAGTCTCTGAGCTCAGTTTCCTCATCTGTAAGATGGGGTAATAATACCTCATTAGGTTTTTGCAAGAGACTTACAGGAGAGTAGCCAGAAAGCACCCGGTACAGTGCCTGGTGCCCAGTAAGTGCTTAATAAATGACAGCTACCTCCAATCTGAAACCAGATGGTCACGTCCGGGAACCCTTCTTCCCCACCCAGGCTGTACCGAATTAGCACAGCCCCAGCTGGTGTTTTCTACGTGATGGTCTCAGAGGCCTCGCCAGATGGTGAGGACCTGAAACTATTTCAGAGGCAGCTACTTGCATTTCCACCCCTATCTGGTACTGAGAAAAAAGAGCACAGGTTCTCCTCTACTGAGGCCAGGGATCTCTGGTCAAGCACCCAGTGCAGCCATGATCCTCAACCAGCTACCCAGCCTCTGCCAGAAACCAGGCTTGGGGGCAACTAGCCAAGCACAGCACTTCTGGCTGAGTCCTCCAGCACTCACTGGCTTATACCAAGCAACCATAGCCTGTCAGTAGCATTCAGCTAACTAGAGATCACATTCTGAGGCTAATTGATAGTAGCAAGCTGATGGGAAGATGGATTCCTTAAGGCTGGGCATGGTGGCTCACACCTGTAATCCTAACGCTCTGGGATGCTGAAGTGGGGAGGACCACTTGAGGTCAGGAGTTCGAGACCAGCCTAAGCAAGAGGAAGACACCCATCTCTACTAAAAATAGAAAAAATTAGCCGGGTGTGGTGGCTGGTGCTTGTAGTCCCAGCTACTTGCGAGGCTGAGGCAGGAGGATTGCTTGAGCCCAGGAGTTTTAAGGTTGCTGTGAGCTAGGCTGACGCCACTGCATTCTAACCTGGGCAACAGACTGAGACTCTGTCTCAAAAATAAAAAAAATTTTTTTAAAGATGGATTGCTTAAAACTCAACGCTCTCTAGCTATTTTAATTAGTATTTTTGTCATTTGGCTGGTTGGGGCCACTGCTCTGAAAAATTTCCAGACTAGAAGGTTCTGGACCATGCTGAGTGGTCAGGACTTTTGTCCAAGCTTCAGAGCAGACCAGGGTAGGTCTATTTGTTGAGAATCTTTTTGGCCCTGCCTGTAGGTCCTTCTGTTGCCCACCTGTATCCTAGTTATACCCCTGAATGCTGCAGTCCCCAACGCCCCGGCCGCAGACTGGTCCGGTCCCTGGCCTGTTGGGAACCAGGCTGCATCACCACCTGAGCTTCACACCCCGGCCCCCACCCCAGGGGAAAATTGTCTTCCCTGAAACTCAGGAACCCACCACACAGCAGGAGGTGAGCGGCCCGGTGAGCTGCAGGCAAAGAGCAAAGCTTTGTCTGTATTTACAGCTGCTCCCCACAGCTCACATCACCGCCTGAGCTTCCCCTCCCCCCACCAAAGTCTGTGGAAATATCATCTCTCAGGAAACCGGCCCCAGGCACCAAAATGTTGGAGACTGCTGCCTTAATGTACCTCAAACCACTACTTTCCCTGTGGTTTTCTTTTCCAAGAACATGGATCTGGGCTTGATCAGTACTATATAATATTTACTTTCCAAATTCCTGTCAGAAAAATACTTCAAACATCTCATGGTCTATACATGGCTAGAAAAAAAAAGGATGATATGTAAGGGGTCTGGGAGAAAATGTATCTAAAGCCCATGACCTTAAAACCAGATGTCCTCTGCCTCTTAAAACCCCCAAGTCCCTACATGTCTTCTCCACAAAATCCCACCATGCCCATTCTCAAGGAGGCTGTCCAACTGGCATCCGGACCTGGGAGCTACTATGTCTGGTTAGCCTCCTCTCTCCTCTACCTCTGAGGAGTGTGAACAATGCAGTTATGGAATTTTTAATTTCTTATTCAAATTTTTGAGTGGATAGAGCAGTCAAATGTTTAAAACTCCCAAAGGCAGATGATAATGATATCTATATAAAAACCCCAAAGATCTACAAATTATTTGAAACAATGTGGAGTTTAGAAAGGTGGCTGGATATAAGATTAATATTAAAAAATCAGCACAGTGGTCACTTTTGGAGGGAGAGGGGGATGGGCTGCAGCGCATGCAGGCAGACACAGAGATATTGGTAATGTTCTAGCTCTTGGGTTGAATGGGAGGGTATTGTAAATTCATTACATTATTAAAAACAAATGCACATATAAATAAAACAAAAGGTAACTATGCCTGGATCAAAGATGAGCAAATGTTATGAATCAAGGATTATAATCAATCTTTTTTTTTTTTGAGACAGAGTCTCACTTTGTTGTCCAGGCTAGAGTGAGTGCCGTGGCGTCAGCCTAGCTCATAGCAACCTCAAACTCCTGGGCTCAAGCGATCCTCCTGCCTCAGCCTCCCGAGTAGCTGGGACTACAGGCATGCACCACCATGCCCAGCTGATTTTTTCTATATATGTTAGTTGGCCAATTAATTTCTTTCTATTTATAGTAGAGACGGAGTCTTGTTCTTGCTCAGGCTGGTTTTGAACTCCTGACCTCGAGCAATCCACCCGCCTCGGCCTCCCAGAGAGCTAGGATTACAGGCGTGAGCCACCGCGCCCGGCTCAATCTTTTTTTTTTTTTTTGCAGTGTCTCACTCTGTTGCCGAGCTAAAGTGCCATGGCGTCAGCCTAGCTCACAGCAACCTCAAACTCCTGGGCTCAAGTGATCCTGCTGCCTCAGCCTCTGGAGTAGCTGGCACTACAGGCATGCACCACCATGCCCAGCTAATTTTTCTATATATATTTTTAGTTGGCCATTAATTTCTTTCTATTTTCAGTAGAGACAGGGTCTTGCTCTTGCTCAGGCTGGTTTTGAACTCCTGACATTGAGCGATCATCCCACCTCAGCCTCCCAGAGTGCTAGGATAAAAAACATTTTTTAATTTTCCAAGTTAATTTCTAGTGACTTCTGCAGACTCCCAACTTTTGCTCATCCCACTGTGTTCTCCACACGAGTCATCAGGCTACTTGACTGTCACGGTCCTGAGTGAGCTGCCCGCCATGGCCGGCTATGCCCCGGATGACAATACAGTCCTGGGTACAGAAGAGACTCAAGCACGCCCAGGCTCAAAACCCTGATTCCAAGGTCCTTTGCTGGGTGATCCTGGGAGCTATTTAACCTCTTGGGGCCACCACTTCTTTTCCTATAAAATGGGAACGCTGACACTTGCCTTTCCTGGTATTCTGATCTCGAATATGACTGGGCCAAGGTGGCTGAGAGGACTGCAGGGCCGTGTGTGCACTGCCTGACGCCTGCGCCTATTGACAGTCCCTGCCTTTCTTCCTTAGTGCAGGTCATTGCAAGCATTTCAGGGGGCTTCTCTGTGCCAAGCACTGTCCCCCATACTGGGGGTTCAGAGCAGAGTGAGGCTAGCACAGTTTCTGCCCACAGAGAGCTCAGCCTGCATTTCACAACTCTTCCCTGTGCTCTTCCCAACTCAGCACAATCCCTGCCTGGGCCTCCCGCTGACCAACCTCGTTCATTTCTTTTTTATAGGAGCCCTATTGCCGTTTAACAATTTTAAATCAAACTTGTCTAAAGCACCACAAAGTGGCTTCTTCAGCGAGGATGATACCCATGGGGCACTTCCTCCATCTCCTCTTTCTTTCTTTCTTTTAAGAGACAGAGTCTCACTCTGTCGCCCAAGCTAGAGTGCAGTGATGTCATCATAGCTCACAGCAACCTCCAACTTCTGGGCTCAAGTGATCCTCCTGCCTCAGCCTCCCCAGTATCTGTGACTATAGGAGCATGCCTGGCTAATTTTTCTATTTTAACTGGAGACGGGAGTCCCACTCTTGTTCAGACTGGTCTCAAACTCCTCAAGCTATCCTTCCACCTTGGCCTCCCAGAGTGCTGGGATTACAGGCGTGAGCCACCATGCCTGGCCCATCCTGTCTTTCTAAGCAACTCTAACACGCATCTGCTTAAAGAAATGAGCTCAACTGTCCCACCAGCAGGAACATCACATTACCATGGTCAGCTGCAACAGACAAGGGAGAAGAGAGAGCAGGATGGGAAAAGGAAAATCATTTCATAAAATTTATGAAGGTATGAGTCCCAGCTCTTCATCCTAACACAAAAGATTGTTGACTTGAGGCCTAGCTTTTACCACCGCCACGACCAGCAGCTCCCCTTGCTGTAGCCAGCGTTCAGGAGTGCCCCCAGGGAGCCTGGCCTTCTGTTTGTCACATATGTATGTGGTCGCCTCCCAGTGATACCAAGGTGGGTCTATGTGACCGACAAAATACTCTAGGAGGAGTACGGGCATGCCACTTCCAAGATCAGGTTATAAAAGACAATGCAGCTTCCAACCCGGTCACTCTATCTCCTTCTCTAGGATCCCTCGCTTTGGGCAAAGCCAGCTGCCATGACCGAGCAGCCCTGTGCAAGGCCCACAACACCAGGAACTCGGGACCCTGAGCCAGCACCACCCACTGAGCCACTCCTGGGTTCCAGACCCTCAAAACCACGTGTGAAAGAGTAAATGTGTGTTGTCTTAAGCCACTAAGTTGTAGGGTAATTTGCTAAGCAACAACAGATAACAAATACTCCACCCAACCAATCTTCCAAAATCTCTTCCTCATTCTTGTTTTGATAGTACAGAAAAACATTATCTTCTTTTTGAATAAATTGTCCAAGCACGGCCAAACTGAATTAA